CTGGCCTGGCATGTCCAGCTAGTCTCCCCTGCTGTTCTGCTGAACAGGAACCATTTCACAAATGACCAACGTCAGACAAGGACTACTCTGTGGCTAATAATGGAGCAAGACAAACACAAGACTGGCCCATAATTGCATCTGAGCACACACAAAAGCAAGAACATTGTCCAAAGCATAAGAATCATCAAATATCTTTATTCCCTGCTGTATGCCTGCTTCTTTATCAATTATAATCATAGTAAATAAAGTAGAGGTTTAAGTCTATTTCGTTCCTCTTGACTCCCAGATAAGACCTAGTCATGGAATTGGCCTGCCTTCCTGACATAGCCAATCCCTGCTTCCTTGAAACCTTCTCCAAGTCATACAGCACAGGCTCAAATCCTGCAAGAAGCTCCAGCTCAGTGTCTTACAGAGATGCCTCACGGTTCTCCATGGTGCACCGTGTCCTCCAGTGCATTGGATCAATAAACTCGACTTCGTTTGACAAAAGTGTGTTCCTAGTGGTCATGGACTAATGAACATCCACAAATGAAAGAAGGCATGGTGGGACGTGGTCAAGAAACACCAGATGAGTGGTCTGGATGTTTATAACTCCCGAGATTCCACCAGAGATGTTTGGAAGTCCTTTAAATTCAGTTTTCTCCGTTTGTCTTGCCTCTTCCATTGTGAAAAGAAGTTGACACCCTCTTATTTCTCCTTTCTGTCATAAGGCCATGGTATAGAGTAGTAGTTTTCAACCTTGGTTGCACGTTAGAATCACTTGGGTAGCTTTTTAAATTTCTTGGCAGAATTTTATTTATTTATTTATTTATTACAGTTCCCTCCGTTTCTTTTTAACTTTATATTTCCATAGGCTTTTGGGGAGCAGGTGGTATTTGGTTACATGAGTAAGTTCCTCACTGGTGATTTGTGAGATTTTGGTGCACCCATTATGCAAGCAGTACACACTGCACCCAATTTGTAGTCTTTTATCTCTAACCCTCTCCCTACTTTCCCCCTGAGTGCCCAAAGTCCATTGTATCATTCTTATGCCTTTGCATCCTCAAAGCTTAGCTCCCACTTATGAGTGAGAACATACGATGTTTAGGTTTCCATTCCTGAGTTACTTCACTTGGAATAATTATCTCCAATCCCATCTAGGTTGCAGTGAATGCCATTAATTCGCTCCTTTTTATGGCTGAGTAGTATTCCATCATGTATACAATGAACTCAAATTAGCAAGAAAAAACCCAAACAGTTCCATCAAAAAGTTGGCTAAAGATATAAATACACAGTTCTCAAAAGAAGATATACAAATGGCCAACAAACATATGAAAAAATGTTCAACATCACTAATGATCAGGGAAATGCAAATCAAAACCACAATGCAATACCACCTTACTTGTGCAAGAATAGCCATAATAAAAAAATAAAATTAAAAAGCAACACATGGTGTGGATGCAGTTGGAAAGGGAACACTTCCACACCGCTAGTTGGAATGTAAACTAGTACAACCACTATGGAAAACAGTGTGAATATTTCTTAAAGAACTAAAAATAGAACTATCCTTTGATTCAGCAATCCCATTACTGGGTACCTACCCAGAGGAAAATAAGTCATTACACAAAAAAAACACTTGCACACCCATGTTTATAGCAGCACAATTTGCAATTGCAAAAATGTGGAAGCAGCCCAAATGCCCATTAATCAATAAGTGAATACAGAGCTATGATATATATATATATGCATGCTTTGGATAGCTTTTAAAACCAGATATGTACCTGGCTTTCAGCTCCAGAGATCCTGACTTAACTGGTGTGAGCTGTGGCCTGAACATCAGAATTTTTTAAAGCTCCCAATGTTTACATACATTTGAGAACCGCTGGTACCATGATAGTGTATGTGCATGTGTCTGTGTGTAGAATAGAGTAAGAGGATGTGAATGTATGTGTAACTGTGAATATGTGATTGTGTGTTTGTGACATCATATGTGTGATAGAGTAGGGATGTGTTTGTATGTGTTGTGTAAAATGAGGTTCTGGGTGTGAGTGTGCCACAGTGGGTCATGCCTTGGTATATGAATGTGTACCCTTTCTGTGCAGTCCTGTGGGAGATCAGGACCTCAGATAGCTGTGAGAGACCATGATGTCTGCAGTTTATGATGGGAAGGTCCGCTGGAGGACGTCTGTGCTGGGCCTCTGAGCAGCTGGGAAGGATTTGCTAAGTGGGGAACTGGGTGGGGAGAGGAGTCTTGGTAAATGAGGCAGCGTCCTGAGTGGCTGGAGAGAGCTGCTGAAAACCCAGTGTGGCTGTCAGGTACCAACGTGGGGAGGCTGCTCTTGGGATCCCTCTCCAGGTTTAGTGACTTGGTAGAAGGGCACTGGGAAAAGGAGAGGAAGACGCCTCTGCCTCATAAAACTCGTCTCCCCAGACAATGTTGCTTAGAGCAATGGTTCTCAAATTTAAGTGCGTATCAAAATCATATAGAGATCTTGTGAAAACACAGCTTGCTGGGTCCCACTCACTGGGTTTCTGATTCTGTACCTCTGGTGAGAGGTCTGAGAATTTGCATTTCTAACAAGTTTTCAGATGATGCCACTACTGCCAGGCCAGGAACCACATTTTGAGAACAGTTGTTTTACAACAGTGGCTCTGAGACTCCCAGGTGATTGTACTTTGACTCTCCTGGGAAACTTAGAAAACAGCCTCTTCCTATTCCCTGTCTTTGACTATAGAATTTCAGAATTTCTCTGCGGTGTGTCCCAAGCAATGAGATTTTTCAGAACTTCCCTGGTGATTCTAATATCCAGCCAGGGCTGAAAATCAGCCTGGCTTGTAAGTTTCATGAAGGCAGACATTTTTGTTGATTTCTGTTTTGTTCACAGGTCTATTTCAAATTCCTAAAATAATTCTTAACACCTAGTTGGCGCTCAATAAACACTTGTTGAATGAACACATGAGTGTTCCTTACCATTTACCAGCCTGCCAAGACAAAGATTTGCCTGTTTTGGTTTGTTTTGTAATGTCTTTTTTTTAAATTAAATTTTTACTTTTAAGTTTCAGAGTACATGTGCATACACAGGCAAATGTATGCCATGGTGGTTTTCTGTACCTATCAACCCATCATCCAGGTATTAAGCCTAGCTTTCCTAATGCTCTCTCTTCCCCCACCTTAACCCCAGCAGGCCCCAGTGTGTGTTGTTCCCCTCCCTGTGTTCATGTGTTCTCATTGCTCAACTCCCACTTGTAAGTGAGAACATGCGGTGTTTGGTTTTCTGTTTCTGTGTTAGTTTGCTGAGGATAATGGCCTCCAGCTCCATCTATGTCCCTGTAAAGGACCTGATCTCATTCCTTTTTATGGCTGCAGACTTATCTGTTAATTCAACATTTATCTGAGCACCTCCTATAGGTGAGAAAGTGTGTTACAGAACAATTTCATGCAGCTCCACGTTGAGGTTCTTGAATTACTGTCTTTTTCTTTGGGCAGAGGAGACAGAGAGAGGTTGAATGGCATGGGTCTTCTAGAGCCCTAGGTTCAGAACCCTCATGTCCATGTACATGGCCAAGATGGCAGACTTTTTATCTTTTAGCTGTCAGGGAAAAAAAAATGCCAGTGTTGAGAGAATAGGCCGGCCACCATCAGCTCCTCAGTTGGCTCTGTCACACCAAGCACTCCAGCCCCTATGATGGGGACATGCTGCTTCCAGGTCAGATGTGGTCCTGAGAAGCTAGATGTGCTGTGATTTATGTCATCACAGACACCCTCACTGTCAGGACCCATCCTGCCTGTTTGAATGCCTACTCATTATTTATTGTGTTTATTCCTTACCAAATACATTCCTAATGAGATCTTGATGGTGCTGGTTATTTGAAAAAGGAACATATCTGAGGAGTGTGTGTGTGTGTGTGTGTGTGTGTGTGTGTGTGTGTGTGTGTGTATTTCCTCTCCGCATACTAAGGACCTCCTTTTTATAAAATCATTTCCATATTGTATTCCTTCAGCATGTATATGGTGAATATATATATGTATATATGGAATATATATATAAGGAATACATACATGGAATATATATTTTTTTCTTGAGATATAGTTTATATATGTATTATATATATGGAATATATATATTTTTTCTTTTTTGAGATGGAGTCTTTTTTGAGATGGAGTCTTGCTCTGTTATCTAGGCTGGAGTGCAGTGGTGCAATCTCTGCTCACTGCAACCTCTGCCTCCTAGGTAAAAGTGATTCTCCTGCTTTGCCTCTTGAGTAGCTGGAATTACTGGCTCATGCCACCATGCCCAGCTAATTTTTGGATTTTTAGTAGAAACAAAGTTTCACCATGTTGGCCAAGCTGGTCTTGAACTCCTCACCTCAAATGATCCACCCACTTTAGCCTCCCAAAGTACTGGAATTACAGGTATGAGCCACTGCTCCTGGCCCCTTCAGCATAGGTTTTTATTGAATGCCTGTAATATGCCAGATATTTGTGCTAGGAACTAGGAATAGCATGTGAGCAAGGCCTCATAAAATTACAGCCCAGGACAGCACTGCTCAATAAAACTGCCGTGAGGAACATGTTTTGTATCTGTCTTGTCTGTGATGGTGGCCACTTACCACATGTGGCTATCACGTACTGAAAATGTGGTCAGTGTAAGCGAGAAATGTATTTTTAAGTTTTGCTTTATTTGACTTAAATTTAAATAGAAATAGCCACATGCTATTTATAGTGACTACCATGTTCAACAATGCAGAACTGAGTGAGAATCACATAACATCTAAATAGACAATGATAATATCTCTTATGTTTTTGGAAGGAGAAACATAAAAAACTTTGAAAGCATAGATCAGGGGCATATGACCTGGTCACTGGGGGAATGGGAAAGCTTCCTTGAAGAGTGACATTTAATATCTTTCGAATTCTGCCTAGAACTTCTCAGTGGGAACCTCAAAAATATCATAGTGAGGGATCCGACATTGTCCTATTATTACATTGCTTTAATTGTCTTATTTTCTCCTCTCTCTAGGAAGTCTCCTACCTCATTGATTCTTCTTTAGCCCCAAACATCCCCATGTGAATAAGCCCATAAAAGGAGCCCTGAGTCCTTCAACTCCAACCTTTCATCACTGTACCAGGTAAATAAAAATAACAACTCATGCCACATGTTTATTTACTGGTTATCATTTTATGTATGCAATCTGTATCCTGCCTTGTCACCGCCCGTAGTGTGGATATTTTCTCATGTGATTAAAGACTCTTCTTAGTCATATTCTTGATGGCTGCCATAATTTCCTATTCTATAGCTATGTATCATAAATATTTCTCATTAATTTCCTACCTTTGGCATTTGTACACTTTATTATACTTCAAGTTCTGGGGTACATGTGCAGAACGTGCAGGTTTGTTACTTAAGTATACACATGCCATGGTGGTTTGCTGCATCCATCACCCCGTCATCTACATTAGGTATTTCTCCTAATGCTATCCCTCCCCTATCCACCTACCCCCTGCTATCCCTCCCCTAGCCCCCCACGTGCCAACAGGCCCTGGTGTGTAAAGTTCCCCTCCCGTGTCCATGTGTTCTCATTGTTCAACACTCACTTATGAGTGAGAACATGCAGTGTTTGATTTTTCTGTTCTTGTGTCAGTTTGCTGAGAATGATGGTTTCCAGCTTCATCCATGTCCCTGCAAAGGACATGAACCCATCCTTTATTATGGCTGCATAGTACTCCATATATGTGCCACTTTCATTATCCAGCCTATCACTGATGGGCATTTGGGCTGGTTCCAAGTCTTTGCTATTGTGAACAGTGCCGCATGTACACTTTCTTTTTTTGCTATTATACTCAATGCTGTGATGAACATCTTTGTGCAGAAATATGTGTTTGCCTTGCTAATATGTGCTTGGAGTCGATTCTTACAGGGGTGAAGGATGCTGACTGCATCAAAGGTCATGAGGTTTTGAATTTTAAAGGTTTTTGATACCTATTGCCAAATTGCTTTCTAAAGAGCTTGTACCAGTTCACAATCTCTTCAGCAGTGTATGAATCCCAGTGCATTCTGCTACTCTCTTTTAAAAATCATACCACACATGTCTTCATGTTTCTACAGGGACTCAATAACCATTATGTGTAGTGGCTGCATGAAGCTTGATTGCACTGGCATGCTGTAATCATCCTCTCTCAAAAGAGGTTGCTAATTGATGCTCTTCATGCTGGGCTGTCCCTGGTCTTCCCAAGTGGAGTGCCTCCATCAAGTCACAGCTGTCTGGAATCCATCTGGCCCTTCGGGGCTGTTCTGTCAACTTTCCTCATCCGTGGGCAGCATTTCCTAGGCACACACTTTCCTTTAATGACACTCCGAGAAGCAAGAATGTTTTGGAGCAAAATCTAGGTTCACATTAGCAACATGGGTCTTTGGCCACAAAAGATATCTCAGCTAGGGCATTCTTTTGCGTCTGCTGCTTGTTGAAATGAAAGAGCACTGGAATGGAACTCAGAAGATTTGTAATGAGACCTGATTATTTTTTTTCTGATATTCTGTGTGTGTTGTGTACCAATAAGGACTTTTTGGTTGCAGTGGACAGAAACCTAACTCACCCTACTTAAACAATAACAATAAAAGAAGGAGATTTATTGTTTTACATAAATGAGGAAATTACCTTCAGGTATGACTGGATTCAGGGTTTCTGATAATGTTATAGTCTTGGTCTTGCTTTCCAATGTCTTCATTCTGCTTGTGTCTATATTGGCTTAATTCTTAGGAGACTGTGCTTTTGGAGGTTCACAAAACAAGCTCTCCAAATACCCTAGTACAAGGGTCAACAAACCGTGGTCCACAGGCCAAATGTGGCTTCCCGTGTATTTTCCTAAATAAAGTTTTATTGGAACACATTCACAGTCATTCATATATGTCTCATCCATGGCTGCTTTTGTTCTAGAGCACTAGTTGAGTAGTTAGGACAGAGGCTGAATACAGCCCACAAAGCCTAAAATAGTATTGCTGTCTGATCCTTTACAGAAATATTTTGCTGAACCCCACTCTGTTATAAAGGTACATAGTGTCAAAAATTTCTCCAGGCTCACTTACCATGCCTGATCAATTGTTAGTTCCCGTGCCATCCCACATTCTTGGCTTCAGGAAGTGTTTGCTGCTTAACCTCTCAGAGCCAGAATCCTGTTCTTTGTCTTTTCTACCTGGCTCAGACCATAATCATTCTTAAATAGTTTCCTTATTTCCATTTACCACCAAAGATGGTAAGCATGGCCCTGTTCCCATTTCTGGCCATATTCTCTGACTCCTGCCAGTCAGGAGGGAAAGTTATACAGATTGTCCACTTGCCCAAGGGGTCCGTAAGTGGATAATCTGTATCCCTACCCCAAACCCTGTCACGGGGCAGTTTCTGGCAAACCTGAGGCAGCTTTAGCTCTGTAAGTAGGATGTCATCTGCAGAAGTCGAAATGCTTTTTATTCATGAGGCTACTGAATTCCTGAAAAATGGAATGTGGTGTCAGTCATTGGCTCTGATACATGGCTTGTGAGTTTCTTTAGTTCTGTGAGTTTCAAACCCTGTCTATGAATCAGGGAAAAGTAGCTTCCTTTTATTATTGTTTCAAGTGAAACTGAACAGAAAAAAATAGGGAAACCATGAGTTTGATGTGGAATGTGTACATATGAGTAGCCTGAATCTTAACTGCCTTCTAATCTCATTTCCCTTTCCCCATTAGTTTCCCTGATCTTATCTCTAACCTTAACCCTAATATAGCCCTACCCTTAATTTTAGCCTTTACCCTAAGATTTACTCTAATCAAGTCTAACAAGTGTAACCTTAACGTTAACCATGACCCTAACCCTGAACGCTAAACTCTACCCCTAAGCCCTAACTTGAATACGTAAAATAGTCCCGGACTTTGAGTTTGGTAATCACGATCTTAAAGTAATTTCACTAATCACACTATTAAGCAGGAATTTCTGGGTATTCATCACTGAAGGAGGTTAGGACAGATGTTTCAACAAAGAGGAGGGATGACATCTTCCATTTAAAAATAAATGTATTGGTCATTGGAAATGGTCAGTGTTGCCACCGTTGCTCTCCAGTAAATAATTAGTTTAAGCAAGTGATGGATCTGTTCTCTTTACATCAAGATAACGATACCATTTCTGCCTGATTTTCAGACCATTTTTCGAGCCCTCATGTTGGGGAGAAGTGTTCATTAGCATTCCAGGTCATCAGAATGAAATTTTATCCCCTTGAATACTGACTGATGCTGGGAGTCCTACCTGGCATAATTCACGATCCTCTAACAGCTGGGGTCAACATTTATCCATGTGAATGAAAACTGTAGAAAATGAAAGAATATATTTTAGAAGACGATGGAAGAAGATGGAAGGTGGGAGAGAAAAGGATGGGAGGGTGGGAAGAAAGAAGAGGAAAATATCAAAGAGTGTTAGCAGGTTCCAGTCATTAATCTCATGCTTCTGTCTGATCAGATCAGTGATCTACTTTAAATTCTTCAACGATTGCTTAGTCTTTGCGGGACAAAGACCAGGTATCTTGTTGGCACACACAGCCCAATGCTGTCTTTTATTTCCTTACTCTGGAGTATTACAGCGCTATGTGACTGTATGAAGTTGCCCTAAATGTATCATGCTTGGTTAGACCTCTTTGCTTTGCCCATGCTGTTCTCTCTTTCTGTATTGTCATTGCTTTTTTTCCTTTCCTTTAAATCTGCCAGAGTAAATCTTGCCTGTCCACAAAGATCATGTTCAGGTATCATCCTCCATTGATCTCCCTCTAATTCCCCCACCACACCCCTCCTCTGTGCCCCATGCTAACATCAATCACAGTACTCCTTTCTTCATTCAGCAAACATTTGTTGGGCTCTGCTCTGTGCCAGGTGCTATGCTAGATGATAAGGAAGAACCATTAATATACCACCTTAGCCCCAAGTAGTTGAGAAAACAGATAAATCACCAGGAAATCATTCAACTGCACTGTGATCACAGAGGCTTAAAGAGCTGTGGGCTTGTGGAGGAAGGCAGTCCCCCCAGCCTGGGGGCTGAGTGTGTGAGGAAGGCCAACAGTGGGATGGAAGAGTGCAAATACAGAAAGAACTGGAAACCCAAAAGGTATAAGAACAGTTTAGGAGGGTTTAGTCTGTGGTGAGAGTTCAGCAGAATCCAGGTCATAAAGAGCTTTGCAGCTATGTTAAGGCGTTTGGATTCATCCTTAGAACTCTGAGGAAATCATTGAAAGTTTTAAGCATAGGATTCACATAATCAGATATGTATTTTTCGTATATTTTAAAGTTTTCTTTTTGTCTCTTACATAATAGTAACGATGCTATCAGCTAATATTGCTGAAGGATACTGTAGAAAAGATACTATGTTAAACTGTATAAATTAACTTAGTTAAGGTTCACTTCATCTTAAAAGGTTGATACTACTACAGAAACTTATTATTTCATCATGTAGACATGCAGAGAGATTAACGGACTTGCTAAAAGGTTAAAAATTGTGCTTTTAATCAGGAGGATAATTTTCCATTTCATAATGAAAAAAATTAAGATATTCATGGTCACTACTTGAAAGAACTCGGAGCACATTTGCTTGTATGATCTTAGTCATCCATTTGATGTACTTATAACTCCTGAAAAGGCTTCATTTCTGTTTCATAAATGATAACACCGAAGAAGCGATTTGGCCAGATCCTCCCTGGCGCGGTCTCAGTCCAGCCACAAACTAGGATCTTGAGGATTGATGCTGTATTTTGTTAGTCTTGGTGCTGCTGGAACCACATCACAGAGGCATGTGGCTATGAGGTTATGGTGAGTTTATAGATGCATCATCCTCCTCATGTAGAGAATAAAAAAAAATAACATCCCTTTTTCATCCTTGATGGGAAGACAGAGCAAGGTGACGAATGGGCTTAGAGGGTTCCCGGAGATGATGTCCATTGGTGTGCTTGGCATTGCTCCTCTAATCAGGAAGAGAATATCTGTTGTGGTTGGAGAAGCAGAGTACCTTAGGCTTGGGCAGGTGAAACCCAGTTACCCATGAGTTGAAGTCAATGTTTTATGGAGATCCTCTTCTTTCTTCTTTTAACCCTGTATTAGTCTGTTCTGATACTGCTGA